AGTACACTTCCCTGTGGTACTCCCTCTTCTTGCTTTTGATAATCAGAACGTGTAGTATCTATTTGTACTTGGAAGAGTCTATCTGTTAAAAATCCTTTTACGAAGTTTGGTAGTCGACCTCTTAATCCTAGTTTATGCAGATCTTTCATTATACCATGTTTCCAGGTTTGATCAAATGCTTTTTCTATATCAAAAAAATATGGCTATTAGATGTTGTTTGTTTAAATTGGCCTCTCTTATGGCTGTTTCTAGTCTTATTATGTGATCTATTGTACTTCTTCCTTTATTATATCCACATTGATATTCTGATATGTGTTTTCCTTCTTCTAGAAACCAACTCAATCTGGCGTTGACCATTCGCTCCATTGTCTTACATAGACAGCTTGTTAATGCTATTGGTCGGTAACTTTGTGGGTTGTTTCCCTCTTTTCCTTCTTTGAGTATGGGAATAATTACAGATTCTCTCCATATTTTGGGAAATTTCCCAGTAGTCCAAATATTGTTAAAAATATTCAAAAGGTATTTCAGCGATTCTTGTGGTAGTTGTTTAATAAATTCATAGTGGATTTGGTCTGGGCCTACTGCTGTATTATGGGATTTTTTTATGGCTTCTATTAGTTCCGCTTCAGTGAATAGGTTGTTGTAGGCTTCTGTATTTTTAGATGAAAAATTTAGTTGGTTATTTATATCTTTTTTGTTTACACTTTTGTAGGTTTTGATTTTTTGCTCATTTTAGAGTTTTCTGCAAATGTCTCTGCTAGTAGGTTTGCTATCTCTCTTTTGCTAGTTGCTTTAGTGTTGTCCTTTTTAAGATGTATTATTGGGTGTATTTGATTTTTTCCAGCTATTTTCCTCATCATTTCCCATATTGTCTTGGTTTTAGAATGTGTATTTAGGCTGTTTACATATTTTTTCCAACATTCCCTTTTGGCTTCTTTTACAGTTTTCCGTGCTACTGCTTTGAGTTTCTTCATTTCAATCAAATTTTGGGTTGTGGGTTCCTTCTTGAATTTTCAGTAATGCTGCTTCCCGTTTTCTGACTGCTTTTTGGCAGTTTTTGTCAAACCAGGGTTTAGTTTTTTTTATAATTATTTTGCTTTTTTTTATATATTTTCTGAGGCAATGGTTATTAATGTTTTGGTAAAGTATTCTACCGAGTTGTCTGTGTCCTTTGACTGTATCAGTACTTGTTTACATTTGTTTTTGAAACCCTCCCAGTTGGCTCTTTTCAGTTTCCATCTGACGGGGCCTATCTTTTCTTCCTTGGCAGGCTTTTTGATTTTCTAGTATGATCGGGTAATCATCACTGCCACATGTGTCACTATGTGTTTTCCATGCATAATCCATACAAATTTCTGGATCGCTTATACTTAAGTCTATTGATGATTCTGTTCCATTGGAGGGATTAAGGTAGGTTGAGGAATTATGATTTAATAGACATAAGTTATGGGTGTTAATTATTTCTTCTAATATTTTACCTTTAGTATCTAGCTTTTTGCTATTCCATATAGGATTATGACTGTTAAAGTCTCCTAGTAAGATTCTGGGTTTGGGAAGTTGCTCCATCAAGTTGTTTATTTCTGTTGTGTTTATTGGTTCCTGTGGGGGTATATAAATGGAAAAGAATTGTGATGGTTTTATCTAGTGTCACTTGTGTTGCTATTGCTTGTAATTTAGTTTTTAATGTGTACTTTTACTTTTTCTGGTATGTCATTTCTGATCAATATTGACACTCCTCCATTAGCTCTATGTCCTGTATTGTGGTTATAGTGGTATTGTTTATAATTTTTAATTTTTTAAGTTGGTATTTTCTTGTAAAAAGTTTCCTGTAAGCAGATGACGGCTGGATACAGTAGTGACATAAGTATGAGTAGGTCATTGTAATTTGATTTTATTCCACGACAGTTCCATTGCAGGATCTTATGTGCCATGATTATATTTTCATTTTTTGGGAGTAAAGTTACCTACTAGGTTGGTATCATTTGTCCTCTCCAATTTTTTTTCCATCTCTTGAGTTTTTTAGAAGCTTTGTCTTCAACTGCTTGTGGTGTCCTTGATCAGATTTTTGATTTTGTTTTGAATTTTGTTTATTATCTTTCTCTTCTATTTCTATATATTCCATAGGTTCAAATTTATTTTCATTTGATATACTGATTCTCGATTTTGAGTTAGATCTTGATCGAGTGCTTTCTTGCTCTGTTGTCACTTTTTTTTTTTTTTTGTTTATTTTTCATTTTTCTTAGTTTGGGTTTGGAAAGAAGAGGTTCGCTGGAGTTTTGTTCTGTGTTTTCTTTCCAAAGTTTTTTGCCTCCTTCTGGGTTTATTCCATTTGATCTGGGTTGTTGAGTTTTATTTTGATCCGATTTAAGTTCGGTTAAAAAGGTTTTAATTCTTCAAGGAAAGCTTTTAATTCCTTACATAGATTTGTTATTTCAATTGAACCTTTTATTTTATCTTCATTGTTTATTTTATTTGCTTTTTGTGCCATGGAAGCATATGTGTTTTCTTTTATATTATTTATAACTTCCTTTCGTGCTTCTATGTAAGATATATTTTTTTTGTATTTTATTCTAATTATTTCTTTCTCCTGTTTATATATATTGCATTGTTTTGAGAGGGCAGAGTGGTTTCCCAAACAGTTTGAGCATAGGCTCTCATTTGGGCAGTTCTCTTTGTGTTCTGGTTCCTTCTCACTACATTTCCCACATATTTTTTTATTTCTACAGGAATCTCTGTGATGCCCAAATTTGTGGCATTTATAGCATTGTAGAGGGTTTGGTACATATTGTTCTACTTTTATACTTTCATATCCAATTTTTATTGAAGTTGGAATTTGGGGGGAGTTGAACGTTATAATGTAGGTATTAGTTTGTATCTCAGCTCCATTTTTTTTAATTGTTATTCTTTTAACATTTGTAACTCCTTGAGTTTGGAGTTCTATTTTTATTTCCTCTAGAGTGCACAAGGAGAGCTCCTTACTTTTTACTACTCCCTTTGAGTAATTTAGTGTTTGGTGTGGGTAGGTTTTTATTTCTATCTCTTGTAGTTTTTTTTGTCTGATCAATGTGTCCGCATATATTTTTTTTTCTACTTCTATTAGTATTGTTCCATTTTGTAATTTTTTAACCTTTTTTGGTATTATGATATTTGATATTGCTTTTTGTATTTTAAACGGAGAAATTTCTGATAATGATTTTTGGCTTATTGCTTCGAGTACAATAAACCGTGGAAAGTTTTCACTTTCATTCTCTGTTTTCTGAGTCGTTATCCACATGTGGTCTCTTGGAAGATTTCTTTTTTCCATTGATTGTTTTTATTTTTGTTCATCATTCTCGCTCCCTACCCACCACGGAGTCCAGATTGGGACAGGTCAAGGGGGGAAACCCATTCGCCTTGCCATGTCGGGGCTACGTGAATGATATACTCTTTTTGGGAGGAGTCTTTGAGCACGCATGTTCCTTTGTTTCCGTTTTCCAAGTATTACGGCTGTGAAGGTTTAGCAAGTGTGTCAGATACTTTTTTCCCCAAATTGATTGACCCTCAGCCACCGCCTTCCATCACATATTTAGGGTTAAGTGTTAGTTTTGGTTGGGAAGAGGAGTGTCAGTTATAGGTTTGGGTTGGATTATATATGATGGGGCTTGACATGACCAGCCGATTGATCAGATCGGGCCCCTCCGACCGCCCGTCTAGCCCAGGTAAGGGCCAAAGTGGTGTGTTACAAGATTGTGACCGCTTTACACCTGGGTTACAACCTGCTCAACCACCGGGATCCCGTCCCCAGACATTACGGGTCGCCACCCACGGCCAACAGGTGGCCCCATTGAGGGACTTTTACCCTCTGCAGGGGGGCAGTCGGCGTATTCTGATGCCCCACCGACCGGGCGGGTCCACCAGGACTCCACTCTCAGGCATCACTGGTCACCACCCATGGCCAACAGGTGACCCCTATTGGGTGGGGGTTGTATATTATTCTGAAGTCCAGGTTGAAATTACTACTGAGAAATTTACATATAATCATGACTATCATCTCAGATCTTTTATTGCACCAATAGTTTTGCATGGAATTTTATCAGCATCAAGCTGCTTAAAGCAGTGTGTGTGGCACCTATGAAAATGCAACAACTTATTTTCCAATCCTCAAGGTCCAAAGACACTACTGTTAAAAGCATACTCCTAAAAAATCTTAGTTTATTGATATTGTAAAGTTGTATAATCATATCTGTCTATATTTCTGAGATGAGATATTGTAATTATTTACATTATTCAGATTGCTGTCTTTATCTTTGCTGCCATATTCATGATGTTTCAATTGTTGTACACTCCGTCCTACTTCAGGTGATTGAGATTTCGAACTGAACTCTTTATTTTGTCCACTGGGGTAGATTGTTCTAGTTCCACGTACCATGCCTCTTCCAGATGTCTAACCACATATGGAGGGATGTGAGATCACCACCCCCTGTGGGATGAGGTTGAAGTAATGTACAGAGAACATCACTGGAAAATACAAAAACTTAAGGAAACAGCGCATATGCTAGACCACAAAAATCTCCTAAGCTGGTCAAGTATAGAAATAAATACAATATGGGAACCAGTAATATGGAAAAACAATAATAATAACAAAATTCCAATATTAGTTCTGGTAATTCGGTGACTTAACTTGAAGAGTTGTGAGTTAAATACCTGGCTACAGCAGAGGTGGACAAAAAAAAACTTGGAAAGTGTGATAACTGATACTGAAACATTCAGAAGATGCATGGCTTGTGGAACTAGAACAATCTACCCCTGTGGGTGAAATAAAGACTTTAGTTCAAAATTCCAATCACCTGAAGTAGGCCGGCGTGTACAATAGCTGAAACATCATGAATATGGCAACAAAGATGTGGACAATAGTCTGAACAATGTAAATATTGTATAATCATTTTATGTAGTTGGCACAAAAGTTTTGCATGCCAATGTATATACATATATTAGATAAAAGTATAAAAGATAAAACTTACATGCTTTTTGAGATTCTGAAAGGGATTTGAAAACATTATCAACTTCTTTGTCACTCTCACACTGACTCATTCTGGAAATAAACAAGAAATCATGAGTCATTAAACAAAGTTAATTAGAAAATAATCATACCACTGAACTAACAATAAGGAGTTTATAACTACCTACATTAAATAGAGAAATTTCATGGTGGTTATATGAATAACTTAAACTTGCTTTGTGGCTGAGAGAATTACGTATTTCCTACTGATGACAGTGCTCACTTGAGCCTAGGTGGCCAAGATTTCAAACACCGATTTTCTAGCTAGACTGGCCCTCCTGATTTGGATGTTTGACAAAACATAATCTTCAAATCTCAAGTTGCCCATTTAGCTTTGTCATGCTAAATAAAATACCAATAATTATTTGGAGATTTAAGTAATTATCAAAAACAGAAACTATAATCTACAAAATTAGCTAAGATAATCATTCAGATAGGATAAAAACTGTTCATTTAGAGATCCACATCAGGCCACTGAAATGAATTTCACATTTCAAAAAATTTCTTGTAGTTTGTAAATATCCAGACAGTAGTGATCAAAAAAAAATGTTTAAAAAATATTCAGTGCAGCAAGTCAGTCCACTAAGTTGTTTTTTGTTCTTCCCATAGAAAATTGATCAATAAACAAAATTTGCCTGCTTACATGAAATAAGTTTTTCCTTCAGCTAATATTGTTTTCATTCTGTAGTCAGTACCAGAGTCAAGGCACAATACATGGCAGGCATTCTGAAAGAAATGAAAATGATTTGAAGATAAAAAAATAAATTATTAAAAAAAAAAGATAATTTGTTTTCTGAAGTCCTAAGATGAAATATTTTCATTATTTCATATATTATTTAACTCATGTTTATTTCTTTTCAAGCAAGTTATTTTTTAAACTCTTGTTTTTATCTTTATTTATCTTAATACAAAAGTTGCTTTAACACTCATCTTCATCTTTGCCCATTCTTAAGCATAATCAGTATCCAGTCTGTTTTATACTTTTTTCCTTTTCATCTCAGAATGATCAAGAAAATTTACATGATTAAACACTAAGGTCGTGAAGTCAAATATATCTCTAATAATCAGCTATATGAACTTGGTAATGCTTCCTCCAATAAAATGATCCTTAATCTTTTTTCTCCCAGAATGTTTTGCCACTAATTTGTGAAGGTTGGTGCTCCCTATTTTAAAATTTTGCCAAGCTATCATAACATATGTTTATATTTTGCTGCATTGTAGCAGCACCAATTATCAGGAGACTGTGTTGGGAACAGCCAAGCAGCAGTCAAAGTTCCAAACTATCAGAGCTGCTAGATTTGCTGGTCTTTGCTCTATACAAATATTACAACAGCATCTGAATGTTTAAAATATGTTTAAAAATGTAAATATACAAGATAAATAATATATATAAATGTGTAAGTGTGCAACTGAATAACAAAATAGAAAAAAAAAAAAACCTATATTATAGGTTTTGTTCTTCAAAGGGACTTCTTCAGACTAATCCAAGATCATACAACATATTTCCTTTCCTAACAAAACTACCGCTATTACAATGTAGGATATTCTTTTTAAAAGACAGTAATAAAAAAAAATGGTAGAAAGCTGAATGTGGTTGGCTGGGCTATGCATCTAGATATATTCATTTTAAATTAAATTTAAGCATCCCTGTATCTTCAGCACTTCTCAATGTAAAATTATAACCAGCATTTGTTGTATTTTGTTCCCTCTCCTTACATATAAGATTCCATTGATAAAAACATAAGTATAAAGAAGTTCTTTCAAAAGAAATACATAACAGGGTTTTTCCACTATTCGTCCGATATATAGAGTTGTATATCATACCTCCCTTATAAATAAATATAAAATGCTGTGACTTGGTTAATCCAGATTCAAAGGATTTTACTGCCATGTTAAACTTATAACACCCTCCCATAATGTCCTTTAAACACTTACTGCCCCCTTGAGAATTCACAGTGTCCCCAATCAACAAAAGAACAAATGTCTGAATTTCTGTCATGTGAAGTAGTAACTATTTACATTCAGACTATTGTCCTCATTTTTGTTGTTGTTATCACAATATTTCAACTATTGTGCTCTTTTCAGTTGCAGATTAGGTTTAAGGCTCCATTTTCTACACTCAAGGTTGTTCCATGGGACAATAACCTAGTGGATTAAAGTGTTGGTTTTTGTATTTGGTGACAGTAATTGTGAGTTCAATCCCTGCAGACTTAGACTCAGTGGAAACAGAGCAAGAAATAAGGGAGGAGTACTAAAGAAGAACAAGACAAGATATCCCTAAACATAGGTTGTGGGACAAGAATAATTTACCCCTGTCGATTAAATAAATGGTTCAACATTACCTAAAAGTTACCTCTATCAACAAGTACCTGAAGAAGGCAAGGAAGCAAAACAATCTAAATAACAAAGATGAGGACAATAGTCCAAATGTAAATAATTTAAAGTATCTACCATGTTCTCATTACTAATTCAACCAACACAAAATCTTTGCTATTCCTGTGATTTTATTGGAAGCTTTTGTTGAGAGAATAAAAAGGAGAAACAAACTCAACTACTTCAAGACTGGAGACAACAGATAAACATGAAAAAAAAGGCCAAAGAATCTATTAGCTGAAAACACTGCATTAATGCGTTAAAAAACAATACGGAAGTCAATAATCAGAAAAATATAGGGAATAATGAAATACATTTAAATGCAGTTAAACCTCAAGTAAATTACGATGAAAATGACCTCATGTATTTGACGACGACTTTTTTCTTTTGTGTGCAGTGTCCCTTTAGGATGTTGGCCATCATAGCTCTCCACATCTTCCTGTCCCTTGCAGCTCTTAATAAGTTTTGTCTTTTTGTTATTTCCTCCAAACCCTGTTCTGCCATCTATTTGCTCAAGTTCATCAATGTTACATGCTGCTTTCCTGTCTCTTTTCTTCAACCTGTCCTGAGTGTATCAGATTTTCCAAGCCCTCCTTCCACATTAAATGCCCCAGAAATATCCACTGTTTCTTCCTGATGTTAAGTACAAGTTTCCTTTTTGTTTCCATTCTCTTCAAAATTTCACTGTTGCTCACAAGTTTGGCCCAATGTATTTGACACAAATTGCAAAAGAACCTTTTTTTTCTCAAATGTTGATTGGAGGTCAGGGGAAGAAAGAAATTTTAATATGCAAAGCTAAAGAGATGTTTTTTTTTAATTTCATTGTAAATTTGTCAGAAAATTAATTTAGACAAAGAGAAATGGTAAAAGTGCAAATTGAGGAATTTACTTTAATATTTGCAAAAGCAAAAAAATCTTTTTCAATATAAAAAGAAATTTTTTTACTTACTTTTAAGATTCCAATAAAAGGAACAAAATTCATTCTTTGCAAGCCTTGTTTGTAAAGGTCTGAAAAGTAAACAAAAAAAATACATAAAACAATGTTAATGACTTAACACAATTGTGACAGATTTGAACTCTTTGAATTCTCTTTTTCTATGTCTATCTTTTCTTTCTTTTTAAAACTGGCTCAAAAATAGTCTTCATTCATGACACATATCACTATAATATTCAACTATTGTAAATGTACAATGGGTCCCTCTGTCTTTCACCGACTGGAGAATTCAAGCTAAATTGTGTCTTAATGCATTGGTCCACACAAACTTTGGGAAGGGCCAATGTATGTTCACAAGAAAATGAGAAGTAAAATTAGGGCCACAGTTTGAAATGAAAATGTGAATTTTATTTCCAGTATATTTGGTTGTTTATTTAGGGATTTGCTTACACAGTGGAGGGGTTGTTAAGGAACACTTGGAACAGCTTCTGCTACTTTTGTCATGACAGGCTAACGGATCAACTTTTCCCAACACCTAGTAAGAACTCTGACTCACTCCTACCACTCCTCTGCACATCACAACATCGGCTGGAAATTCATTCATGAGTGACCTGAAACTACTTTCTAATAGGTAGCATTGGAACTTTCTGATGGGAAACATGTACCCTGCCAACAAGCTGTATCAGAACTACTTTCAATTCTAACTGTGACTGTTTATATAAGTCTGCAAGTGGAACTTTCTAACTTCCAGCCAAGCGGCACTTGTTCCCAAAAGTTTTCAATGACTTAATCTATTTATTTTATTCCTTTTCGTCAAATAGGTAGCTGCTTTAAAAACCTTACTTTTATTGCTGGTCATAAAAAGTACAAACACTTAAAACTCAGATAAAATCATTTACCACCCTATTCTCTCTGGGAATCTTAATTCAATCATATAGGAGATCTATGGTGGTGTTGCCTACATCTCAAAGTGACATGGCATTTAAAAAACCAAAAAAAAAAAAGGAAAAAATAAGCAAGCATACCATCCGGATGTCGATTAGACGTTGCTATAACAACAACACCATGATTGAAAAGTTCTGTAAATAATCCTTTCAGAATCATAGCATCTGCAATGTCTGTGACCTGAAAAGTAAATAAAAATAGTTTATCAAAGGAAAATAATTTATACTAAAAGGAAATATATTATTAAAAAAAATAAAAATATAACAAAAAAAATGAAAACTGCTGCAAATGATGACAAAATTAAATGTTTTATTTAGAATATATATCTAAAATCTTCATTCGATTAAAACATTTCTATAACTCTATAAAGTAATCGGAAGAGACAATGTTTTTTTTTAAATATACAAAAATAATGGCAGATTTTATTATAAAAGTTTATGTTTTCACAATTAAATCTATATTAACCAACCACAGTTTGTAAAACTTATATATATTAACATTTTGTTGTTCACCAGATTGTACTTAAACTAAGCATATTCACTGTTTTCGCGGGAAAACAGCATATAGCGTAATGAAAAATGCCACAAACTTAACTAAAATAAAGTTTTATCATCAAAATGCTTATGTTATTATTAAGATGAAAGACCAAAGTATTTTTTAATTATTTTTTGAAATTTTTTAATCCTTTCTAACATGTTCAAAATTTTGGTTAAATTCTTCTTTTGTTTATGTCATCGCACCGTCACAGAAAATAACTTTTTTTTTGTGATTTTTTTCCATTGAAAACATATTGATTTGGAAATTCTTGTAAAAATCAAGTAATTGTCCGATTTTAATGAAATTTTCAGGACTTATTCACAAATGAATGAAATTATTTTTGAAATAATTTTTTTTTAGAAGATTTTGGTAAAAAATATAATTTTTTAAAATATGTTACCCCACATTTACTTAATTTAATGAAATTTCACCCCAAACCTTTTTGGTTCCTGAATTTTTTTTTTTTTTTTAAAAGTAGGAGTCTTCGATGGTAAATAACCTACTTTTTTTTTTCAAATTTGAGCTATCTAACTGAAAATCTGCTCTGAATTGAAAAATAATGAATCAATAAAACTATGATATTACTTAATTAGAAAAGCTTTTAATTGCTTTTGTAAATAAGTAATATTAAGATTATTATTGTCTGAAGAAATAATTTTTTTCTGATGAATAATTAATTTTTACAAGAATTTTTTCGTTTTTTAAGAAATTTTAATTATAATAATTTATAATAGTTTAAAATCGTGTAAAGCTCTGTATTAGTAATTAAGTGGAAAAAAATTTACGAGTCCAAAATTGCTAAGTTTAATAAATTTAGTTGCGCTACTTTTTTTAAAAATAATTTTTTATGTTGTATTTTTTTACTTAATACATTCCTTATTTCCATGTATGATATACAGAAATTGACATTATTATAACAAGGTCATGTGATCTAAGGGTTTTGTCCCTTTACGTGGCCTTTTCATAACATTTTGTTTTTTACAGGTTGTATTTTCTGTTCAGCTTTAAAAGTGAAAACTTTAAATTTTAAAGTAATTTTTCTTTTTTTCATTTACTATTTCATTAAATAATTTTATTTTATGTATTGTATTTCCATTAGTGTGTGTCATACTCAAATAGAATAATTTTTTTAAAAACTCAGACTTAAAAATTATGTCATTTATGGTCATCAGTAGTAGCTGTCATCGTTTCGTCATTCAACAATCCATCAATAGTTTGATCAGATGAACAGGACCGCTCGTTAATAATTGGTTTATATATTTTTTTTTATGCTATAAGTAAGAAAGATTTCTTTCAAATCAGATTACTTTAACTTTAAATTTTTAATTTTACTAAAATAACGTGTCAGAAATTTTTTTAAATATTTTCAAAATCAATAAATTTGTGTTTGTTTACAAATTTCTTAAAATTAAGAAAATGGCCGATTTTAAGGAAATTTAAAAATTTGAATTTAAATTTGACAATAGTATATAGTTTCTATCTGAAATATATCAGAATTGTTTAATTAATGGAAATCATAAATTTAATGATTAAACTTTTTTTTAAAGCTAAAATAAAATCTTCAAGAATGTTTTTTCATTGTAAAAAATTCATTTTAGACTTAAATATAGAAAATTTATGCCGAAATAGTGGAGATACCTAACTTAAACATATATAACAGTATAGCCATATATGTGTGTGTGTATATGTGAGAAACCTCAGTACCTCTGCAAGCATGTCTGTTTAGTGTGATTGAGAAATATGAGTGAGGATGTTGGTCTATGGGATAATATATTAATTCTATCTGTGCTATTTAGTCTGTTGTTACAAAGTGTTTTGAGGAGCAAAATCCATTTCTCTTCATGTTCATCAAGTATTTTCCTAAGTTTATCTTTGGTGCCTATTTCTATTCTTTCAATAATAGTGAATTTTGCATGGCTATTAAAACCATGTTTTTCTAGACAGAAATGTTCTACAGGTAATAAACTTTCGTGCGGAGCTGACTTGATCCGATTCCAATAATTACTAATTCTGTAGTGAAAGAACCATTCAGATTTTCCCACATATTGTTTGTGGCATAGTGTGTATTCTAATAGGTAAATTATGTTATGACTTCTATAGTTAGAGTTGTGGTAGATTTTAAAAGTAGATGTTGTGACTGAGCTAGTCAATGAATTATGGCTATAACATAGGCTCCTTTTGTTGTTACAGGGCTGGGAAATATATACATATACATAATTATATACCACTACAGGGTGTTATGGGTAACTTGTTGCCATTTTATATTTTTAATTTTGCACATATATATATATATGATAAAAATATTATAGATAAAGCATATGTAAATATTAAAGTGGACACTGGGGTCAACACCAACCAGCAACAATCATATGGTCTGAAGATTGTGTACAAGCATGAAAAACTGATTGTTGACCTCAGTGTCCACTTTTATGTATGCATGTAAAGACAGACACAGGTTATAAAAAATATAACCACAAAAGAGAAACAAAATATTGTAAAGTTATTAAGTGATAAGGAAAAACATTAGAGATTGCACAAAAGTTGAAAACATGACGATCCAAAAATAAATTGAAAATACTGGCAAGAAAATGATCAAAAATTAATTTAAGAATGTCATAAAAAAGATTTGAGAAAAATTAAAAAGGTAATAAGCAAGAAAAGTGTATTGACCATCAGGAAAATATTTTAAAAAGTTAGTGTTGCAAATATATAATCACATATAAGTTATGGAAGATACTTTTTGAGCTAGTTTTATTTATGAAACAGTACAGTAGATTTGATTGGCTGCAGTTGAATTATTATTTTTACATTTATATAAAAATTGAAGAAAAAGTTAGTAATTAATCATTATTGAATTTTCAATGCCATTTTCAACATAGATTTTAAGGTATATTCTTTGGGAATTGTGTTATTAGTATATTTTATCAGCCAGCTATTTAGTGTTAGGAAGAATAATGCTTTTTAGACTTCCAGTAGCACACTGATACTAACATTAGCATAGCCATTGATACACCAACACTGAATGCGAATATAGAAAGACGAGATACACACCCGTAACAAGCAAAACATTTAATAAGGCAAACAACTTACATACACATATTAAAAGGATTTACATATGTCTCAAAACAAATGATTGTTCATACTGTCCAAGGGATGAGAATGTTTACAGAATGAGAACAAAGAAATAACATACCAGCTTTATGGCCTTTGACCATCCATAGCTAAGTGAATAGAAATTGCTTTTTTTCTCCACGTTGTGCACATGTTGACCAGTTTCCATGTGTGTGGATGCTCTGGTGGTCAGGAAGGCAAAACCGTTCCTCAAAAAAAACAGCAACAAAAAGAAAAAAAGGGACAAGATTTCTCCTCTCTAAAGCGGCTGAAGTCCCATGGGAAAACAACTGTGGTCTTCCTACAGTGTTTTATAAACATAGATATACAGAACAATTGAATAACTAACACGCTAGCATTTACATTAACAAACAAAAAATATTATTTAGAGAATGAAAAAAAAAAAAAAAAAAAAAAAAAAAAAAGTTGGGCTCAACTTGCCTGGAATTCATCAAAACACAAAAGCCAGGTTTCTGAACTAATTTGTTCTGCAACAGGGGCAATTGGATCAAAAGCTGAAGAGTGTGCAAGACTGTACAATTTAGGGATATCCTTTTTTACTTCATGGATTTCTGTAAAGAGCAAATACAATGCAATATAAACTTGATGAAAGAAAAACAAAGAAAATTACAACATTTTGACTAACTCAGGACACCCCAGCAATACCTTGCAACATCACCATGTTTATTGGTTCTGTCACATTGTAGGAGTATCAGGTGTAAGCAGATGAAGTTTTTTCCTCAATCATGAAGCTTATCTCAACCAGAGATATATGAAGGCTGAAATGGGAATGACATGCTGACATCTAACAATAGAATAAGCATTAGTCATAGAGACAACATTAATACACCCACACCTTGACATAGTAAAGAGAAAGAAATTATCTGTTCATTATTAAGTATGCAGCTCAGAAAAATCAATGACCAAACAAATATGGAAACAAAATGATTCATATAATCTATACATAAAATCCTGTAATTTCCATTAGTGTGTCCATCACAACCTCTAAAATGACCAAACATTGACTAATCAAAACCAAATTTTGGGGAGAAGTGCAAATAGGTAAGGAGGTATAAAGCACAGTTGGTTTTACTAGAGTGCATAGCTTAGTACAATAAATTTTCATTCATTTTTGGGGGGTGGGGAATTAAAAGTTTTATTATTTAACATAAAAAATACTCCCACTATTTTAAAAACAATTTAATGATTAAAATAAATTTTCTTAAAAAATATTGTTTAACATGAAGTCCTACAAAATTAAAGAAGTTATTAAACTGCAAAGTAGGGTTTTTTTGTCAACGGATTTTTCCAAATAAATCAGATTATTCAAATTTTATTGAATGGCTTGTGAAATTGAATGAAACGTAGAGTTTGTAAATCTTGACAAAAATGTTAGCAATAACTTCAACAATACTAAATACTGTGAGAATTTCAACTCACGTCAGCAGGTTACAAAAAAACTTCTAGTTAATAAAAAACAAAGAAAATAGCCTGTAGATAGTCAAAAAGCAGTAGGACAACTGGACTCAAGTTCCTGTGTCTTTCCACTGAATGTTTGAATGATATGATGACTGAACTTGGAGAGTTCTGTGTTCAACCTCCAACTTACTGCTAAACTTACCACTGATACACCCAGGAGGATCCATCTAAGTCACAAAGGAAGTCTACACTGAATCATGAAGATATAAACAAACACATACTACCTCTAACCAAACCCATTTTAACCATCAACTTGATTGTAGCAAAATCAAATTTAATTTGCATGAAAGCTTATCCACCAGCCTTGAGAGCATGAGTGCACCATTCACACCCCAGCAATCCAAACAGATTGTCTCCCAAATAGACCTGAGCCATCTGCTTCAACCCTATTGTTTGTTTAACCAATGTTCATGCTCTGACCAGAACATTAAAAATGTAACGTACCCTAACCAGACAGAAGCACAAAGCAACAGCTAAAATTCACTTACATGCTAGACTTATTAATCTGACCTTGTATAATATACTGATGGCAAATCAGCATCACTTCATTCAGTGTGTCAATTATACATTGGATTATTTCATTTCTGTTGTCAATTATGATATTTACTTTACAGTTATAAAAGAAGTGAAGAATCTTACTTATTTCTTATACATTATTTTAGCTAATAACTAAACATTAGGCAGCACTCATTGATGTACTCTCTCTAAGACTGCAGTAATAAAATTGCTGACCAAAGTGCCAACTATAAAATGTATTTGGGATTTTGATTAAATGTATAGGACTATTATCAAAATACTGTTAAATTTGTTTTATTATACTATCTGAAAGATAAATATGTGATAAAGCCAAACCTTGCTGGTTTTGTTTATATTATTCAACTAGTGGTTCTTATTATGATTCTTAACTGGTTCTTTCCTTCATTGATCTCAACTTTTTACAGTGTGTTGAAATCATATATATGTCAATAGCAGGCAATGTAAGTTTCGTAAAGATATACAAGTACGTCCACGGCAGTGAAAGTGTTAATGAATCACTGGACTGGCCTATTTTGGCAGCAACAGGTACACCAGGTGTGCAGATGATTTAAAACTATGCCAAGTGGGAGGAGCTGCCCAACACCAACTGTGCTCAGAAAAAAGAAAAAAAATTATACAGTATTGAATGTTGTGCTGACAGGTTGCTTCCTTCTGCTTTTTCACTCCCTTAAAATGCTGTCAAAACAACCAAAATGTTATGACAACAATATTTTTCAATATGGTCAATAAACAATACTTTGATATTTAAACTGCTGAAGTGTAATGTACAATTCAAACCTTTATGAAGCAAAGTAGTTCTCATTATGCCAATATTGTTGGATAATGCCAACAATACTTAGTATGGATCAAGTTCATTCTACAGAACACGATGGATAAATTTTTGCCATTTTATATTTTTTAATTTTGCACATACGTGCTGTTTGTGTTGATTTTGTCAACTGCACTGTATAGTAGGGTCAATTGGTCACCATCTGTGAGAAAAGTAGCACATGAAACAATTCACTCTACCAAAAATTTGGAAACAGCATGCTGTACTGCTTGGCATTCATGCTGGAAGCTCCAATACAAACATTTCAAAGTGTTTGGGTGTCAAACTGAGGACAGTGTAGAGGATTCAGAAAGAGTTAAAGGAGTCTAATGGTGATTACAAAGATGTTTGGAGTGATTACTAGTGATGGTGATTTTATGCCTTCATTCATCTTCCCACAGGGCCTCTTCCCAACATGGCCTACATCACATGTCTTGATGAGGTAATAATGCCCTGGGTCAGAAGTTGTGGCTGCTGGAAGACTCTATATCTGGCAACAGGACCCTGCACTATGCCACACAAGCAGAAGAACCCAGTCATGGCTGTTAGACAATTTCCGCAAACACATCACCCCTTACACTTAATTCCCCAAACTGCAACACCATTGATTATTATGTGTGGGGTGCAGCTGAGCAAGAATCCAACAAAACTTGTAACATCAAAGATGAACTGAAGGCAAGCATTATGGCAGCATTCACTAACTTGCAAGACATTCTGAAGTCATTTGGAGGCTGTGGTTGAAGCCAGTGGTGATTGTATTGAATAAATTTACTCTTTAGTATTTCAAGATATTTTTTTGTAATTTTGGTAAATATATCTGTTAAAATGAGATGTCAGCATTATTTTCATTTTTATGTAATTTAGACAACAATCACACCCTCTATACAGATTTCAAGACTTACAGGCAAACTACTCTTGGGTACACTTGCTCTTGGGTATTTGTTATAAATATCATTTATTTACACATTCTTCTATGTGCCAGGTCCCTTCAGGATGTTGACAATTATGGCTTCCTACCATTTCTTGTTTGCCAACATCATTTGTAGCTCTTAATAAATTTTATCTTTTTGTTATCGCTTCTAAAACTTGTTTTGTCATCCATTTACTCAAGCTCAGTCAGTAGATTATGCATTGTTTTTTTATTTTGACTCTCTTGCCTTCAATCTGTCTTCTAAGTATCACATTTTCCAAGCCCTCTTTCCTCATTATATACCCTAGAAATTTCAACTGTCTTTTTCTGATGTTAAGTGTCATTTTTGTTTCTATTTTCTCTAAAACTTTGTTATTGCTCACATATTTTCTCCACAGTATTCTCAGCATCCTTCTGTAGAACCATATTTCTATTGCACCATGTCTCTTCTTCATCTGTGAGGAGATTGGCCAGCAATAACAGTTAAGTACTCTTTTCTTTGTTTCTAACAACATTTTGGGGTTTCTTAATATTTTCCATATTTTTTTGGAAGGCGCCTTCAGATTTCGAACTTCTAAATATTCTTTAGTTTCATCTTTATAGACTTAAAACCAATTTAAATAAACAATATAATTTTAAGAAAACGTATATATATATATATATATATATATATATATATATATATATATATATATATATATATATATATATATATAGGATAGGAAAAAATGAGAAAAACAGCCGATTCCATTACCTTTGTTTCAACCTTTCGATATCTTCAGGTGATTTTGGTCAATTGATTTCTTAACGTTTTATTTTTTTAAAAATAAAAAATTTATGAACACTATATTTAAAAAAAAATGAAGAATAAGCTAAATATATGAATAAATGAATATGCTAAATTTATTACAAAAAATTGAGCTATTCCTTACCAGAATGAGATGAAAAGCACTGTTTTCATTAAATATTTAAAAAACAAAGAAAACATGGAAAAATTCAAATTCAAAACTAAAGATTTCCTGCCTGCTATTGAAAAGCTGGCTAACTTTGATAAAGGCTATATTTGGTATGAAAGATAAAATTAAATTCACAAAAGTTAATAGTAATTTCCAAATAACTATTAACTACTGAAGTAAAAAAAATAAAAAGAACTAAAAACGTTTTAGTTAAAGAAAACACAACAAAGAACATTTATACTATGAAACCAAAGACTTACCAGAAAAAATAAACAAAGAAGTCACTAAAACTTACAAAAAAGTACAGGGTTTATATATTATGCTATAAGCATAATAAAAATATCTCAGCCAAACTAGGTATAAGTGACAGGGTCTATATATTATGCTGTAAGCAAGCATTTCTAACTATAAAGGACCATAAAGACAAATTCACTAATAATCCTTCTTTTAGGCTAATAAACCCAAATAAAACTGAATTGGGTAAAATAAGCCAAGAAATACTCAAGAAAAAATGTGCAACTCTTTAAGGATCACTACACAAGCCAATCAATGGGAGGATACAAGTGAGTGTATTTCTTGGTTTCATATAAAGACAAATATGTATTTATAAAATACAACATAAAAAACTTTTATCAATCTATGTCTAAAAAAAAAAAAAAAAAAAAAAAAAAAAAAAAAAAAAAAGAAGCCTGCTTGAGGCTTTGTACTTCGCCAAAGGCTTTGTAAATATAACACCTGAACAAATGGAAATAATTTTACATTTCTGTAAATCAATTTTATTCCACAATGGAGAAGCTTGGATTAAAAAATTGAAAAAAAGAACGACTTCGATGTACAACAAAGTTCATTTGGTGGTGCTGAGGTTTCTGAATTAATAGGCCTACATATTTTATATGAAATCAACAAAATTGTACATATAAATAACCACGGCCAGTATAGGGATGATGAGCTGATGATAGTGCCAGACAGAAGAACAAATGACAATATAAGAAAAGCACTTTTCAAACTCTTCAAAAGTCTTGACTTTGTAATATAAGTCGATTTGAATAAGAAAATTGTCAAATATTTGGATGTAAAATTAAATCTACAAACTGCCAGTGTCTCCCCATACATGAAACCCCAACAAAATTAAAATATATGAATGTTAGATCCAACCACCCTGCAAGTATGATAAAGCAAATCCCCAAAGGAATAGAGTCCAGGTTATCTTCGAAGATAAAAAGAAAGAATGTAATGTAATGAATATGCATACACCAGTGTTCCCCCTCACAGGAATATGATTGGTTGCTGTCAGCCATAAATACAGGCTGATGTAGAGGTACAGGACTACGCCATTGGCTATCCTATTGGTCTACGCCTATTGCCTAAACCTATTAACTGCGACTACAAGTACCAATTCCATTACTGTTACCTGCTAGATTGTTCTACTTGGTTACAGTAGCCTAAACCACTTAGCTACTTCGAACAAATATATCCCTTTCCGGGACATATCAGAGTGTGAAAGAAATTTAAAAGCAAATGAAGAATAATTCAAGGAAAAGAAAAAATATTTGGTTTAACCCCTTTTTTTAACTTAGAGGTCAAGTATAATATAGGGAAAATAGTTTTCAAATTATTTAACACTTCCCCCAAAATTCCGAATTACATAAAATATTTAATAAAAACTCAGTTAATTTAAGCTACAGCTGTATTAGTAATTTAAAAAATAACATGTAGCAAAACATTGTTAACAGTAATATATGCAACTGTAGAAATAAAAGCAGATGTCCATCAGATGGAGTTTGGAAAACTGAAGCATTGATTTACAAAACAGAAGTTATAGATACAAATGGCCAGAAAAAATATTCATAGGGTGTACTGAGAGTAATTTTAAAAAGAGGTGGTACAATCATGTCATCTTTTAGGCTAGAAATCCTTAGAAATTCTACTGAACTAGCCAATCATGTGTGGAAATTAAAGGAAAAAAGATCTGATTGTAAACTGGAAAATTCAAAAAAAGAAAAAAAAAAGAAAGAAAGCAAAACCATACAATCATAGCAACATTTGCAACCTTTGTCAACAAGAAAAATTAGCTATAGCAACATTTCCAGTCCCCCAAAAAACCTTTTTAACCAGAGAGCAGAAATTATGACCCGTTATATACATACTAAAAAGTTCTTTTAGAGTTAATTTGAAGAGGGATAAAAAGAACATATGCACATTTCATTTAACCCCCCCCCCCACCAATACACTTGATTTCCCCTCCACCTCACCTTCTACTACACCACATGTGATGAGCTTGTTCATTTTTTTTTTTTTTGTAAATATTCCATTCATAAATTGTTTTATTTTTCAAAAAATAAAGCCTTAGGAAATCAATTGACCAAAATTGCCTGAAGATACTGAAAGCTTGAAACCAATTTCCTAACTTTCTGTACATAAAAGCTCTACATGTTAAATTTTTATCTTTTTATGTGTATTGAGCACTTTTTGAATACTACTGTTTCCTGATCTGATTCTGACCATTAACTATATATATATATATATATATATATATATACACACACATACATACATACATACATACACACACACACACAGAAGGAGCTTAAGTTATGGATCAAACCAAAAATTTATAGCCAAATAAAATCAAGAAATACAAACTTAAAATAAAATTGAAATGGGAGGGATTTCTGAATTTTTGATAAAACAGCAGAAAAGAAAAATTGCTCAATCAACAAAAAATTAAAAATAGAAAACTCACTCTTGTGGACACTCAACATAAATTCATGGAAATGTACCCGTAACTTTTTGTCAACTTGACAATTTTTATAGAAAAGATCCATCAACATTGTCTTTCCACATCCTGCAAGTAGAGACATGGTGTCATTAAAATAGGGAAATAAAAAAGACAAAGGAATAAAGTAGGAATTACAGTCTAAAAATATTTAAGGGAATATGTCCTGTACATCAAGATCTTTGATTTATTTAAATATGATTTTTAAATTTCTAGGAATTTTATTTTTATCATTAAGCAATGAACAATTTTTTCTGGAAATACCATAATGAAGGAATAATTAAGCATTCATGTTATAATTATCTTAGATAAAATTTCCTAACTTGTAAGAGAACTTGTATTAAATTTACTTAAAACCGTTCTTTTTTCTTTTAAATAATCACAAATCATCCATTTATGATGTCAATATTGTTTACTTTTAATCCTTAAGAAAACTTAGATTAATACAAATATTTCTTAAACAAAATTCAGACACTGGAAACAACAATCACAGATCTTGCATGATAAGCTTAATATAGTTAATATTAGAATTTTGAAAAAACAGAAATGTTTTGAAATTAAAAAAATATTTGTTCAAATTAATGTACTCTTTCTGTTCAATTGTCTGAACAACTTTGAAAATTATAACATCTCAAAATTATAGAAAGTGTCTTTAACATATTAATTTCTCAAATAAATGTCTGACAAGAGATAATTTTTAGAAAATAAAATAACTCTATGAAAACTTCATGACTTACTATTCTTATTACTACTCAGATTATTTGTTATGTAGAATTTACAAAAGTAAATTCAACTTACCCACATCTCCATACAAGTAAAGCCCTCGTGGAGTTTTTTCTTTCTTAGAAAAATGAAATGTCTGAGGGTGGAAAAAGCAACAAAATTATTTTTATTGCCATTTAATAAAGGGTATATGTGCATGCATTATATATATATATATATATATATATATATATATTTGTGTATAATAGAATGCAGTTCCTATTTCATTTAACCTAGTTTATTAAATCTAATCCATTTTTCTTAGGTAAAAAAAATAAGTGTAAAGATTTACTTCAATGTTTTATAATGGGTATAGTTAAGTCAATACTCAGCTGAAAATGGAATACTTCTAATTCTATTTTCTCATATATATAAGTATAGCTGTATTTTTAAAAAGATCCATGAACTAATCACAACTTCTGAAATAAACAGAAAAAAAATGGATAAAATGTAATGGACAATTAGCTCATAAAATAGAAAAGCCAAAACATATTAATGAAAAAAACAAAAAAAACATCAATTTTGTTAAATTTAAATCGACTAGGTCTGTCTGCTCAACTTTTCATTGTATTTTTCAAATTTTTGAATAAAATGTTGCACATCAAGACAAAAATTGTGGATACACTGTCCAAAGTCCATGTTTTGTTGAAGTAATTTCAACTGGAGTACAATAAAAAGTTAGATAGACCTTGTAGGCTGAATTTAACAAAATCTGTTTTGATGAATTCTTGCTGTCTAAATATATCTTCATAGAAAGCCAGATCATTAATACCTAATAAACCACATAGTCTAGTAAATTACTGGACATTTAAACAAGAGTAGATTTTGTAAACAAAGTTCTCAGCAGTAAAAAAAAAAAAAAAAGTAAAGCAATAATAATTAATAGATAGAAAAGTTCAATAGATTTATCCAGTCCTGACAAGTGGTGAATCTGGGAAACTTGCAGTCAGAAAGACATGTCTTTTGAACTTTTCTTTACACAAACACATTTCATATGCATGTGAACATGCATACAAACACTATGAAAAAACAAAAAAATTATACCAATGAAAAGTGCATATAAAAAAGAAAAATTGAGAAGTATAAGCAGTCAATTGTCAATTGTTAATACCCCCTGACGAGTGGACAGAGTGATTTCCAGAGATTCTATCTATGGAAATCTGGAGTTGGGATGCTGAAGGTAACATTAATCAATCAGATACATGACAAACGTTTTACTTGTATTATATATATATATATATATATATATATATATATATAGCACTGGCCTAGTCAAGAAAGAATTTTTAAAAAATCTGGTTTGGTCATTTGCTTACTCAAATGTGGGTCACACTGAGAACATCTGAAATTGAGAGCAACCCCCTTACATGTGTGTGTGGTGTAAATAATTTCACTGCATATAATGTATTATTATTTCAAATATTAACAGAGTTTTGCTTGGTATTATTGATTGTTAATGATCTTGATTGCAGATTTCATTGAAAAGTATCAAGTCTTCGAAAGGTTTATTAAAATTAGAAGCAGGATCAGTCAATCAAAATCCAAAGTGCATACTCAATTGTATAAATATGGTATCTAAAGAATATTATGATTTCATTAGACAATCTTTCAATAGAAATGCCACACACAGCCATGTTGTTTTTTATGTAACATCTTGATTCAATAGAGATAACTGCCTATTTTGGAGAAAGCTTTATTATTCCAAGAATTGTCATGAACAATTCTCTAAAAGATAAAATCACTTCATTGAACAAAGAACTTAAACAGGCTTGGACAAATGTTTTAGGCCCATATAGTCAAGTACATTACGAGTCTAGATTTAAAGTTTAAACAGATAAACAAATCAAAAAATATATTAAAAGTTTTTTTTTCTTTGTATTATAAATAATCAACCAGCAGTTATAATTATTTTAACAAGAACTACAAATAATAAGGGTGTGCAGATGATATAATGAATGTTGGTGCAAATAGTGAATTAGGTGCGCCAAGCTCAATTCCCACTCAGTTCTCTTTCATTCACTTTGCTCTAATGCCCTTGGAAAATACAGGAATCTATCTTCTTTCCTATAACTATGGGTTTAATAAGAGAGCAGACTGTGCTCTCTTTCCTTGAGGCAGTAACTAGTCTAGGAGAAAGAAAACTGAATTCAAAACCAGACTGAAGATTGGGTTCTGTTAGGCTATCTTGCCCTTGACACACCACTTCTGCTATGGCTGCAGTAAATGTGGTGCCTCTATGACACTCAGGAGTTATCCCCCCCACACACACACACAAATAATGAATTAAAAAAATAAAATTAGACAAGTTTTCAAAGAAAAAGTACACATTATAAAAATTATCTAATACTTTGTATTAGCCCCTTTATTACTTAAAACAGTCAAAATTCTTCCAATCAGTACCACATGGGACCAAGAAAACAGTCTTTGATGCTTGGAATAGATATCATAGTGTACCTATTTGAGGATAGACACTTTACTACTTTCATTACACCTTGGGGTAGGTACCAATATCTCACTGCACCACAGGGATATATTGCATCAGGAGATGGACATACGCAGCAATTTGATGAGATCATGAGCAGTGTTCTTAAGAAAAGAAAGTACATGAATAATACTCTCCTCTGGGCTGATAATATCAATGAGAGCTTTTTCCAGGCATGTAATTGGCTATAAATATGTGAAAACAATGTTATCACTTTCAACCCTGATAAGTTTGTATTTGCACAGGATAATATGAAATTTGCTGGTTTTGAAATCACGGCTGATAATGTCTGACCTTGCACAAAGTACCTATGTACCATCCTGTATTTCCCAATGCCATAAAACATCACTGAAATGTGATCTTGGTTCAGTTTGGTGAACCAAGTTTTATACACATTTAGTATGACAAACTGGGTGCTACCATTCCGTCAGTTGTTTAAGCCAAGTACACTCTTCAAATGGGATTCAAGCCTGGATGACCTCTTTCAGGAGTTCAAGATGATGATAATCAGTGTGATAGAAAATGGTGTACACATATTCAACCCGAGTAAGCAAACATGCTGAGCTACAGATTGGTCAAAAATGGTATAGGGTTCCGGTTCTTCCAAAAACATTGCAAATGTGAACAAACTGTGCCATTTTGCTGTATAGAAGGTTGGAAAAATACCTTAGTTGGAAATAGATTCACAAGTACTGCAGAATCTTGATACTCTCTTGTAGAGGGAGAAGCATTAGCAGTCATGGATGCTCTCAAAAAAGTCTACTACTTTGTAATCGGTTGTGACAACCTTGTCATTGCAGTCAACCATAAACCCTTGCTGAAGCATTTTGGGGACAGATCGTTTAAGAATATCACTAATGCCTGACTCTATAATCTAAAGGAGAAGACTTTACATTACAAGTTCAAAATGTTGTATCTGCCAGGGGCAAAGCATTGTGCACCAGACACTTTTTTCTGCAACCCAACTGGGGATCCAGAATCTGTGGATCTGAATGATGATGTGGATCTGAATGTGTCTGTATCCTAGAGAGTTAATAACATTCATACTATGAATCTGCTGTCACTGACATACTCCAAACATCATACCAACACTGAGGATAGAGCTCCAGAGTCTACATCAGAGTCCAACTTCTACATGTCTGCTGCATACCCTACAATATGTAACATGGGACAAAGTTCACATCACTATCTCTAGTGATGAAGCCATTCATCAGTCAGTTAAGATGGTAGGTATCCCAGACTTGCGCAATGACACAACACCCTCTCTACAAGAATACTATCCATTCCAGGAACATTTGTCATTAGGTGTTGCTGTCTACAAGGATTGGATCATTGTTTCACTTTCCTTACAATTGGACATTATTACGTCAATGCACTCAGCTTATCAGAATGTTACTTCCACGACTTTGTTCTAGCCGGGAATCACAGCTAATGTAATGAGTATGAGATACAATTGTAACCACTAAAATCGCATGACCCCCTCACAACCCAGTGCTCCTCCAACACCTTTTGTGTATCCCCGTACCAATTTCAGAGTGAGTGTGTGTGTGTGTGTGTGTGTGTGTGTGTGTGTGTGTGTGTGTGCTGACATTTTCCATTACAGAGGTGTAGACTACCTTGTTATTGTTGACAGATATTCTAACTGGTATATTGTTGAGAGATCAACCAACGGCTTGAAAGGCCTAATTGATAGTTTCTGAAAAACACTTATTGCATTTGAAATTCCTGACAAGTTGGCCTCTTATAGTGGTCCACAGTTTACAGTAACCAACACTAGAAACTTTTTAAAGACCTGGGGTGTACATCATCACCTCTCATCTGTTGTTTTACCTCACAGTAATTATAGAGCGGAGGTCAGTGTCAAAACAGTAAAACATCTCATCATTGACAACACAGGACCAAATGATGAACTTGATACAGATGAGATACAAAACTTTCCCCGGCTATGTGTGTTTTTGGATGAGCCATAAAAGATTTTATCCCTATACTATGCAGTTGATACAAACATCATGATACATGGCTAGACACCCTATCACTAAGGGAACCTGCTCTGTGGAACTGACACATTAAAACAGAATGCCTCAGAGAGCACACACAGCATCATGCCACTCAAGGTTGGTGACTTAGTCAGAATTCAGAATCAGACTGGCTACCACCCTCTAAAGTGGCACAAAACAGGATGGGTCATAGAAATACATCAATTTGACCACTATGCCATCTGTGTTGATGGGTCTGGAAGGATAACACTGTACAACAGGAAGTTTCTCCATCATTACAATCCAGTATATGAACCTCTGGTATGACAGACTATTGCCACCAATCTACAGAGTGCACACAGACGTAATGTACTTCAGTTGAATGTTCTACAAATACGAACAAAAACTGAGACTCACACTGTTCCACCCACTGATCTCACCAACACCAACAAGAATAACTCACCAGTACTTGGCTTATATACAATCTCCATCTGGAGCTATTAACTGCCCAGTATATGACAATGGTCATGAAATACCATCACCAGCAAGTGCTCCATGTGCATCACCTCCATTTGAGTTATCATTACCAGCAACCACAGTTGATCCAGTGCCTCTGGAACAGCCACTCATTTCTCCAACAACACAACAGCAAACAATGCCCATACCTACACCTGCAATTCAGCAATGTTCAATGCCATCTAGTGTGAAACTGAAGTGATTATGTGCAACTAGTAATGGGGCAGGACAACTGAAAATAATGTTCATTATTTGATACATGGGTGACTTTATTGAATACATGACCTTAGTTCACTATTTTAAAATAGGTGATTCACCAAATGTTGGACTCTTACAGGTTTTTCAATAGCAAATGACATTTTTTTTGTGTTGTGTTGATATAAAAAAAAAAAAATGACATCCATACTTCAATTATGACAGATACACAAACAGGTGTCAGGAAGTTTCAACATTAACATCAGCCATTGTTAATTGCTTGAAGGAACTTAATAATGACTGAGGAGGGGTTAGAGGAATATCTATGTGTAACCTTGCGATGTATAGTAATGTTAATTATAATTTCTTTATACTGTTTTCTTTTTAGGTTTCCATCATTCATAATTTCAAATAAAGAACAAAACAGAATTTTTGGTACTCATTTTTTTTAAAGTTTGTTGCTTTTAGAATAGAATTTTAATTAAAAATTTTGTATCATCCTGGCATCATACAAAAAGCCCTATGTTCTCTCATCCCCCAGGACAATGTTAATTTCAAGCCCTGCCTATCACCAGCATGATTTAGTCACTAAATAGTACCTTCTCTTTTGATGTGTTATGTGGCTTAAAACCTAAAAGAACACTTATTTTGCCTAATGATTAATTTCACCTCACAGACAGCTAAACGAGAGAATTTAAATTTCTGTGCAGTATTAAACTTTTAGACTAATATGTTAAATTTTTAAAATCCTCAGTTAAATTTAATTTTATTTTTAATTTTTCTGATTTCTTTTTGCTATTTTTTCTCATTTCTAAAAATAAATTTACCATCAAAGTCATCCAACTTAACACCTTGGAAAATACTCAAGAAAAGAAATATTTTCAGATAATTTATGTCTTCTGGAAAATGGTCTAATCTACATAATAAAGAATCAGCCAATTACTAATTGGTCAATAATTTTATATTGCAGTAAGCATCTAATTTATTTATTGGTGCAGCCCTAATCCCAACTCTCACTTGTGTTTGAGATTTGTTAAAGGGACATTCGACAGTACCATGTGCATCAAGAGCATTGCTCAAATCATCCTGCTGTCATTCCTGCAATAGAAAGTGATTGATATGATGTTCAATGCCCACCCATGTGCTGCCTGTACTCTGCAAGATGATCAACAATTTCCCTGATTGACCTGATCACCAGACCATTCTCTCATTGAGCATATATGGGACATGATAGGACAATGCCTGTCTCATTTATTTAGCCCACCTACAACTTTTGCTGTGTTGTGTCAACAGATGTAAGAGACATGACATAATGTATCACAGGATGGTATTGGAAATTTGGGTGATTGTATTTATGTAAACATACAAGCCTATGTTAATGCTGAAAGAGGATATACAATGTATTAATATGGGGGAGGGGGTTCTGAATACGGATGATACACATTTTATTTTGGAACTTGTGTATATACTGATCTGTATATTTGATCATTTACTGTAATCCAGATATTTTACTTGTATGTTTAATCTTGAATAAACTGAAACAGGAGTTACGATTTTGCTCTCTAGCAGTGTGTGTGTGTGTGTGTGTACATATGTACATTTCTACATATGCACCTGTTGGCTTCAATCTGATAGGAATGATTGCAAAATGCTTGCCACTCTTCAATTTATAGGCAGAAGCACACAAATGTATACTGGGATTTTTTCCTAGCCAATAGATTGGTTTCTTAGTTTCATCTGACTCAGTTCCGGTCTGTCTTGCCTTGAAGTCAGAACACTACATTTACTTGTCCAAACTTGCTTTTGTTTGCCAACACCAATTCTTAGTTTGCAAATTTTTTGCCATATCACTTAATTTTCCTTGCATATATTGTTTGCTTGCTTTATATCATTTTTGCCCTGTTATTTTTGTTTCTTTTTTGTTATTGCTTATTGCAAACTTTGATACTTCCGTTATTTATTTTGCATTTGAACATTGCTACTCACTCCACACATGATCAAATAAGGAGCAAGTAGAAAAATCTTCAAAAATTTAATGTTTTGTTATTTATTTAGCTTCATCAGAAATTTTGGAAGTGGAATAATGCTAAATTATTTTAAATTTCTATGTTGTTTTTTCATTTGTTGTGTAGACATCACATTTGTTTTATAGTGTTATTGAGTATCTACGTACCAATTTTGTTATGCGAGTATCCCATGTTTAGGAGTGTATTAAAAAATTGGGTATATTAGTGTATTTTAATTGCATGATAAATATGATGAAAGTTGGAAGCAAATGTGTACTATTACATTATATTATCTACAAATATTTGGCTTTTACATCCTTTGAATAGAGATTTTACAAATATTTTTGATATGAAAAATGTGCATGTGAGTTGGTTATTTATTAATATTCTATTTATGTAACTTCTCCACAATGGGTTGTGTTCATTTTTTACTAAGGTAGCATTTTTTAAATCAAAGTTATGGCCTGTTTTATTTCTAAGTGATACTAAGGAATTTAACAGGTTATCCCAACAGAGGTCTCCTTTCTGTTTGCAAACACAGGTCTTCAGATTTCTAAATGTCTCACCTAAATATTTCCTATGGCATTGCAGGCAATTTATGTTTCCATTTCTGATGAACCATTAATTTTATTTATTTTGCTGACCAAATCTTTGACTTTATGTGCATATGTAAACATCAATATAGCCACACACACCTAAACATGAAAAATCTCAGACATACAACGTCATATAATAGGATATCTACATAGACTATGAAGAAAAAATTAGGTCAATTCTAACAGTAGGTTAATGTCAGACCACTGCTGAAAATTTACAGATAGTCATGCCATAATGTTACAACTCATACAGGCGACAGAAGTATGTCAAAATAATACACCTTTATTCAAACCTCACCTTTTCAAACCATCCAGATGTATCAGGTTTGTAATTATGCAGTCGATGGTGCAGCTTTTCCAGAGCTGCAACAATATTTAGTTGGTGGTTATCAACCTTCAGCTCTCCAGATTCACACAAGGCATTATAAACAGCCAATGGTCCCAATGTAATATCAGAGGATGAACACCTGGCTAATTGGTGGTTATATTTTTTAACTGAAAAATAAAAGAAAGGCATTACAAAATAGTTTTATAATCCAGATTCATTATAAATGATTCATTCATGATAAAACTGCAATTTAAAATTGAAATGCACATAATAATATAAAAAACATTTCTAGATATTTGTAGTACTTGTTGACTATTACGGTCTCAAGAATGTTCTGTCATAAGATGGAACTAGTATCTGTTTAGATTGATTGTTAGCTTGTTTTTGTTATTGTTCTATATACTTATGTATTGCCTATCACAAAAATTGAAATCACAACCACCAGCTAATAGAAACTAATTGATGTGATGTCATGTGTGTGACAGCACAAAGCATTTCGTATCTGATTGTCCACACAGGAAGATCAAGGACAATTCATCTAACACTCATTCTTGGATCAGCAAGCAAAGAGCAGGAAGTCATGCTGATTGAATCATTTTAGCTAAAGGTGTTCTTGACTGTGCTTGCACGAAGACCATAGCTGGACACATATGGATCAATGAATATTTATCTCTTCTTTCTGAAGATGAAAGGATCTGCAACAGATGTTTCAGATGCTAAAGAGGATTTGGTTATTCTGTTGAGTTTCTTTGATTTCCGTGATATTGCAGCTAATTTCTCATTTCAAGACATGATATTTCTTCAAGATAGTGTTCACTTATTTGCCTGGTGAATCACTGACAGACCACTTGAACAGTTTTGCCTTAATTACCACTTGGAGTTATTGATTTACTTGCTTATTTATTTTAAATTGTTTTTTTTACTGCTTGAATTTTTTTTAAATAAACAAATTTCAATTATTTATTAGTTATTAATAGCTATGTTAAGTAAAAAGTGTTTAAAAATAAAAAAAATACTTTCCTTGTCCCTAAAAAACAACACATTTCTTCAGTGTGATGGTGCATTCCTATTGAGACCACAACAGTTAAAAAGTACTATATTTATAAAGATATAGATTATCTTACTTGGAATTATATTTGACTAATTTTTACCCATTTATATTTTGCTAAAAAACCAATTGTTTCAAAGTAGAAAAACTTAAAAAGCACAATTTTGAATCTCTACAATAGAATTACATTTTTAGTTGCTTTCTGATTTTCAGTAATCTATAATTAACTTTTGCTGTAATAGAGATAAGAGAAATTGTATTGATTTCCTTAAATTAAATCATACAATTGAATAACTCATTATTTTTTTTAGATCTGGCTGAAAAGATTAGGTTTTACAACAGTTACATTCTATACACATGCTAAAATCATAGTTGTAAAATAATGTTAAATTTGGAGTAAAGAACTTTGTTCAAACATTTTATTTTTAAGTTTTCTTAGATTTTTTTTTTAATTTTTATATCGTTCAACATTATTTTGTTGTAAACTATGATTTTTTTTTAAATAAAAAAGTAACAAAAAGTTGTTTTAAAAAATATGGATACAATACATCTAAGTAAATATTTGTTTCAATTTGTGCATTTTCCTAACTAATACAATAGATGAAAACCTCAAATTTTTAGAAATCAAGTAATTTCTCATTTACTAAAGCAAGTGAGATTATTAAAAATGCGAGTGAAAAATTTAATGACTTGCTCTTAATCAGAACATCATTGCATTCAACTTTTTTTTGGCAACATTAGAAAAAATAATGAAAAAATGATTTTTATTTTACCTTTATTCCCCCTACATACACAAACATACACTTAAAAAAAAAAAAATGAAAATTTAACATACTTAGGTAAATTTGGATATTTTGATAATTACCTTAAAAATGTAAACAAACATGAGGTTGGTTTTCATTTCTTACAAAAAAAAGTGGAAACTAAACTCATCTTTAATTAAAAGACCAATTTCTTATTTTATATTCAACTTTTCAAATTTTATCTACTTTTGGTTCCACATTTCGGAAAGTTTATTTCTTGTTTATAAAAACATTTTAACGATGATGCAGAATTAGGTAACACTAAAAACTAAACACACACTGGTTCACTCATAAAAAATAGGGAAAATTTTGAAGGGAAATAATTTTTGTTGACTAACATTCTTTAGTTTCTTTTTCGAATCGAAAAAAATATTGATTTGTTATATCGTTAGAAAGGGGGAGGGGCTCCTGTTATGGTAAATTGTGAAATCGATCCCTGACTTTGAAGAATGAAGTTGAAGAGTTGTCTTAGGCGATCACTGAGTTTTCATATACAAATGTCAAATCTGAAAATGTGTTAGAGCTAACAATCATTGATATCTGCATATTTTTTACTTTTTTATCACATTTTAAAAAAATTTTTATTAACTTTTTTAAAACATTTTTTTAAACTTTTAAAGATTCTTTTTATATGGGATATTTTGGAAGCACATGCCCAACATTTGAGGTTCATAATTATTTATTTTACATTAATAAAAAGGAATACATTGTTAATTTATGTAAACTTTTGTTATTTACTTAAAAAAATTGTTATTTACTTAAAAATAACGCGGGTAAATCAAAAATTATCTGCACTTTCAGCATATTCTTTAATCTTTCTTTAGGTTCACACACACTGTGATTTTTGTACATTTTACTCGGAAAAGAAAATTGTACATTTAAAAAATTAAAAAGTTATTTCTTCCTTCAAGCAAGACCAAGTGTTTTAAGCTTGATTCCAAATGATAAAAAGATGATCGATTTTTTTTTTTTTTTTATTCGTTTGATTTTTTTTAAATCTCTAATTCTCACAAACAGTAGATTATAATTCCAGAGTAAAGAGGGCGAGTTCAACCCCGTACAATACAATGAAAAATCTTTTAAAAGACACCCAATTATCTATAAATTAATAAACTCTATATTCAGAAAATCCACCCGAAAGCGGTAAAATTATCAGACAAAAAGTATTCTATATATTTCTCATATTTGTCTAACATTCATTGAACATTGTTCATGTCAGTTTATCTGCTTTGAAGATAATTAAATAATGAATTCTTATGATGAAATTTTTTAACATACAAAAAACACAGCCTAAGGGAAGTAATACTTTTGGCTCATTTAGATAAAAATTAAATACCACTTATCGAGAATAAAAAAAATTTGAAAATAGTATAAAAATTGATTACTGTTTATTTTTTTTCAAATGACGCCAGATTATTATATTAAGAAACATACCGTGCATTTTTTATTTTTAACTAAGGTTAAAACTTTGATATACTGAAAAGTACATAAATTAATAAATAAGTAATGTATGCTAAAAATTAAATGGTAAAAACTATATTCAACAAATAAAACTAAAAAAATCAATCATCATTAAACATTAACCAAATATTCTCTATTTCTCAGTTCAATTTTATGAAAAGACTGCGAAGTTGTCATTTTTTTTACCTTGATGCTGTAGGACATTCCGAATAATACTTGATGGCAAGTAGACATTATTTAAGCGGCATGAAGCCAGTCTTAACTGACGAAATAAGAATCCTATCGGCATCATATCTTCAATCTATGGTTGGGGAAGTTTGTATTTTTATAATTATAGTTATTTACATCCGAGGTCACCATGTTGTTCGTTCCAAGGACGCCATTTTCTTCTTTACCTGTAAACTTCACCGTGTACAATCTCATGATTGACCAATAAAAATCCGCTTAAACATGACACACCCCCAACAAGAGATATAACTCTAGTTTACTATTTGTGAACGGTGATGCCTACATTAAGGTTCCACTGAAACAATTCAGCAATTCCACTGGATAAACGATAAATACATGAAATAAGTATAATTACTTAGGACAAAATCATTTTCTATTTAGCCACCGTCTTAATTGTTGTAAACTGTTCCCTAAAACCTTTGGAATGACTACTATTATCTAACTAATATCTAGTTAACATGTTCAGTTGGCACTTGTTTATCACCAAGATAGTAGGAATCAACTCCTGGACACTGACAGTCTCTTTTTGTGTGGAAGATCAGAGAATTTTCTGTTTATTCAAAATATTTAAAATTTACAAGAAACAACTAATTTTGTATTGATTTTTACTTTATTTGAGGATGCAAATCAAAACATGCTTACGTTGCCTTTACTAGTGGTTATTGGGACAGAAAAGTTTGTTACATTTTTAAGTTAATTTCAAAGGTATTATTTTGATATTTCTATATAAATTTATTCCATCACATACATCCCATCGAGTAATAGATAGCGGCTTGGATTGAGGAATCGGAGAGCTGAGTTTGAATTCCAGTTGAATCCATTACATTCATTTATGTGCTAATACTCTTGGGAAAGGTATGGATCCCCTTCTTCTCCCTCCAGCTATGGATAAATAGCAGGACAGACCAAGTTCTATAGTGTTAGATGGTAACTGATCTACTGCAGAAAGAAATCGCAACCTACTGCAGGAAAAAAATCTGCCTCATCATTCATATATCAAAAGATACATGATCATCTAAGCATGTATCACACATGGCACATAACTGATTGACCTTTTGCCATCTTTAGAAGCAGCTTCATGATTCCATCCTCCCAGAACTTGGTACCTTTCTGGGTGATGAACTAGCCTAAGTAGTTTTTACAAACTTCCAGAGAACTTAAATTCTTCCTATTAAGAGAATTATGCTGAGATCAAAATCAGTAATAATCCAACAGTGCAAGATCAAGTAAGTATGGTGAGTGTTGTAGGGCATACCAGCCAAGTTGTACCAATGTTTTCAGGATTTGCAAAGAGGTGTAAGATCTTGCATTGTCCTTGCAAGGATACAGAAAGCTGTTATCTCCCTTTGGTGCCAATAAGTCACATTGGTCACATGATAGCCACTTAGTGACAAAAGTGGCAGCAAATTCAGTTCATTTACAGCAGGTAAACCATAAGGCTGCTTTCTTTAGCACCATCCCCTAGCCCAAGCTGAGGCTAAATCTGTCTCCCAGCAGCTTACAAGCACATGGTGCCATTTCCCTTTGGGAATATATCTTTCCCAGATATAGAATGAAACTCCAGCTTATAGGCCTCAATTTGAGAAAACCCAACACTCATTGTTTCCCATTCATAGAATATGTCCTCACCTGGGACATACATGAATTTACATCCTGATGGATGATGGTATCATCCAATTGGCTAGTTCAGGATGCTTTTTATTGATTGCTTCCTTTAATTGGTCCAGCTGGGATCAGTAGTTGTCTGAATTCAACATCTGATTTTCCAGAAGGAACTCATAATACATAATGCCCTTCCAATCTCATCAGATACAAAGCATCACCTTTGGATGCAAACTTGCATTTGGAGTGTTTATCATTGACTGATTATGTTCTTCTCAGGACCTTTTTCACTCTACATTGTTGTAAACAATCCATTTTTCATTGCCTGTGATCATTCTACTCAAAAATGTTTTCAAATGCCAAATGTCTTCAGTGTTCATATTCAATATGTGGAGTATCTCTATGATATCTCATGTTATGTGACCAGGTTGATTTTTAATGTTCTGATTTGATCATCATCATAGCATCTCATTTTCGTCTATTTTTCCTTTTAACTTAAAAATAATTTAAAATTCATAATTCACACCTGAATTGTATACAAGGAAGTGTTGAAATGTCCATTTTCAGAATATTTATAAATGTCATATCTTTCAGTCACTTTTGAAACCTAATTATGTTCAAATTATGATTGAAAAATACTACAAACTTTTAGACAAACCAATATTTCATATACATATACCTAAATATAAGAGAGAAAGTAATAAATAAAAAAAATATCAGAAAAAAGTTGTAGAATAAACCACAAAAGTTTATTACTGAGTGTAGAACAACAGTATCAAGTGATAGGTATTTCTTATCTGCTCATAGAAATCATAATAGTACAATCACTGGATAAGCATGACATTGCACTGAATGTTTATAGTGAAGAAAATGGCGACTTACCTCATCAAACCAAGCGACAGCGCGTTGCGTGTATATTACGACAGAAAATATGGCAAAAAAGAAAATTACTTACCAAAAAAGAGGGCACGTGTTCCACATGACATGCTGAAGATGAAATATTTAAATTAAAAAAACAAGTCCATCGCAGGAGTCACTATACACATATTTTGATATGCAAAAGTTGGGCATCCTCTCCCAGTTGTTGCTGAATGGAAAAAATGCTCAGCGGATAAAAGCAGTTGGTGTTCTCGAATTGGGGAGTTGGTGTATTTTGGCTACCGTGTTTGTCGGAGAGTGAGTTATTTTTCTGACTGGTTGCATGCATTACCTGCAAATTGAGTTTTCGGCATTTCTTTCTGCTCCCAATGCTCGAATCTGAACTTAGTGATTTATTTTCTGCATTGTGGAAGTAATCTGCAACAACTATTTCCTTTGCAATCCCAGATCGCTTACAATGTTTTATATTATTAAAATACTAGATATTGATTTAACCCTTTTACAAGTGAATGTATTATTAGCTCTAAAACATACATACAAAATTGTCACTTGTTAATTTCAAGAAAGTTGTCAATAGAAACATATGCCCAAAATACATATGTAATGTAACAATAGTAACATCTAATAAGAATACAAGACTAAATTTTCCATACATAAAATAATTGCTTATTCACTTCAGGATTCCATCAAATTAACATCAACTACATCCAGGGTATGTGCTTTCAGATTTTCCTTTAAAAGTTTGGTCATCTTGCAAGAATGCAAAGGAATCTCCCTGTCCACTTGTAGTTTAGGTATTGATATAACTTCTTATTCAGTTGTCGTCTACTTGTGTATCCTAAGTTCAACTGGGTTCACTTCCTTGTTAATGTTGGTACACCAGCCAACATCCTTCAAGGTCTGATTGTGCACCAGGTGGCTTCGATTTCACCTTTTTGTTCAGTCCTCAGGACTCCTAGCTCTTTTGACTTTCTGAGGTCACACAAAGTACAAAACTTATTTTGGTATATCTTGTGCATTACACCACTGTTTAAGTTTTATAAAAAGACAAACATTTCCCTTCCTCTTCTTCTTTCTTCCTCATATTCTGAGATGTAGATGAGGATGTTCTCAATGGAACTCATTTGTTTCCCCAGTTTACTGATGACTGGATTCTCACACACATGCACATACACATACATGTGTATCACACATGAACACATCACACATAAACAAGCACATTCTTAATAGTTAAGTTTTAATGCCTTTCCTTTCCTTTCAACTGTGTACACATTAATGTAATTTGTTTTTGTTAATAACTTTCTTTTTTCCTGGACTCACATGAGTCTGCCAAATATTTTTTGTGGGACAAATGACAAATACTCAACATAACTACAAAGAGACCCAAAAAGTAAATGAATATATCTAATCTCCCTTAAATATAGGAAATAGTTTTGAAAAAAAAAAAACAGCCAAATTTAAAAAATGTTTAATTCAAATTTTACATAGATCTTATCTTTTTTCCTCCCTTCCTTTCAGTATCATAATGTTGTGTTACTGATACACTTATTATGGAGGTTAAGAGATTATCACTTGTGGGGGTTATTAGGTTATCTTCTGACAATGTCCATTAGATCTATACATAAGATATACCTAGTTTGGGTGTATGTTGACCATGTGCAATGATTAAAAGAAAATGCATAGTGTTGATAAATGCAAAATAAATATTTATGTACACAATATAATAATAATACAAAAGGTGAAAGTTGAAGTTTCAAGTGTTCAAGTGTAAAATTTCTGGTACATACAAGATATATATATATGTATACGTATATATGTATGTATCCAAATATAATAGCTGTCACTGAATCACATGATAAAGGAAGGTATGTTTATTTTCAATGTAGCAAGGAATGCTTTAGCCATATAAGGTTGCCGGCTAGTTGTGTAATGGGTATGTTACAATGACTGCAGCATCAGAGAATGGACAAAATTTATAGACACTGATTTTGGTTGATTTTCCATCTGTTTACATACACATCTATAGATCTGCTTTGTAAAGGTGTGCTCTGTTTCTCATTGGCTCACTACCTATATCCTGCTTGTGAAGGCTTTTTGATGGGTTGGTTTAATTATGGCTTTATTTTTCTGGAGATTTTTATTATCCGTTGATGGTGAAATTTTGGTCTTGTTATTTGTTTTTATTTATTTCTCTATCACCACACTATATAAATGTTACATGTCAATACCTATTTATTACATTATTCTATTGATTCCAAAAGTTGAGTTCTAATATAAGAAAATCTAATATATCTACTCTATGGATATAAAAGCACAAAATTTGAGTTACTTTCCTACTGCTGTGACATAGATTCCTTATGTTTTTTTCTATAAGTATTTTCATGGCAATTATTCTAATGAGCTCTCCTTCTTGGCATCCCGACTGCATGAATTTAAGCATACTACTAGAGTGGCAACTAGGTCTCATCATTTTACTATTCAAATAGCTAGATGTAACCATAAGTTCTATTCTAATAGTTTCTTTTCTAGCACTTCTCACTTCTGGAACTCTCTTCTGGTTTCTTGCTTCCCTGCTACCTGCAA